GCCCGTCAGGGCGGGCATCGCCGGCGGGCCTGAGGGCCGACCCCCTCCTCTCAGCGTGCCCGAAGACAGAGCTGTTTAGCGGCAGCCGCTTCTCGCCACATCCAGCCCCTCCCCGAACGGGTACGAACAGAGTGAACCCCTCCAGCCGGCTTCCTCCTCTCCGGCCCAGCCCAGAAAGCCCGCGTCCCTCAGCCAAAAGGGAGACACCCCTCTCGCGGGGCTCCCGCCGAGCCCCAATTCCTCAGCCCAGACCCCGCTCCCGTGGCTGCGTGTGCTGCCACCCGCCTCCCCAGGCTTCAGGCACCTGCACAAACTGCTTGCATCTGAGGTAGATGGGGCGGTGGTACAGTTTTAAGGGACACAGATTAATTTATTCTCAAGGAAAATTATTTATGGCAGAAGGTGGTGTCGGTAGAAATGGACCGAGCGCTTGGGTGAGCGGCGGTACGGACACTTGACTGGGTTTTGGTTTATAAAGATAGGTTGGAAAAGTTCCCGGGCTGAGGGTCGGACAAACGCCTTTCCCAGTGCCTTTACTCTTCTTTTACGCAGAGTAAGAAACCTTCAGCACCATCCTGTCACTGCTGGAAATCTGAGTTCCAACCTGCGCTTGAGGGCCACTGGAAGCGGGCAGATCTCTCCCTTCATGAAGATGTTGTATAGCAGACACCAACATAAGTAAGCAATAACAGCACTTAAAAGGCATTGGTTTCTCAATATAGTGCAGATATATAGTGCCCAAATTCACTGTGTTGTAATCCCTTCCTATTTAATCTTTACTAATTGCCTCAGACACTTATTTCTAAATACATAGTGAAGCAAGGCTAAAAGGAAATTAAAGGAGGGGGGGAACAAAAAATTACTTATTTTATATACCAAGTGGCACAGTGACTAAAGCCAAACCCAGCAAGTTCCAAGCACAGTCCATTCACCTCTCATTAAAAAAAGGGAGGTTAGGACACTTGGTACTGTTCAAAACCAAGCACTGAACGTCCAGACATGACTCAGTGCCGATTACAAAAGAACCTCCTGTTAACTTTCTACACAGTGACCTGGCTTACAGTGATTTCATTGTGTGATAACGCTTAGTTCACTGAAATAATAATTAAAAACAAAAGAAAAAAACCCTTTTAGATTGATTTTGCAATAGTAGTGCAACAAGAAGCCAGTCAAAACACATGAGAGTTTTATTTTTAATTATAGAACTAAAAAGGCTAATATTTTATTAACATAAGGTTGCAAATTAAAAGGGAAATGCCAGAACTCCTTAATAATCTCCACTGTAAAAATGCAAAAGATTTGTGCTTTAAACATCGCCATAACATACTACAGGACTATGTCTTCCCTCCTCTGCCCCTCTCTCCCTTCTTCCAAGGACTATTGAGAAATGGACATATGTCATCTGAAACTTCAAACAATGATTCTAAAGCAGACACTCATCACAGTCTTTTTCAGCCCAAACAGTTTGTGTATCACACAAATAAAAAACAACTTTAAATGAGAAATATTCAGAAATTAACTACAGACATTACCATCTACACTGCAGATTTCACTTTTTACAGAGCAGTAGTTGAATGCAAATATTTGATAAACCAAACATTCACAACTGCATGTCTTCCATTTTTTTTCTTATCCCATTTCCATTTTTTTTTCTTAAAATTAATCTTCAGCGGTCCACATAATGCCTAGAATATACCTAAGCACAGCCTTCCCTAGAGCTAATTGTAACTCCACCATTGCAAAGCATCCTACACCACAAGTTCTCACTGTATGATGAAGCATAGCTTTAGAGGGACTTATTTAAAGTGGAATATATACAAGTTCTAAATATTTTACTTCCTACAGGGATGTCTTTCTTGGAAAACCACAAATACTTCTGTCAAAATACTGACTTGAAAGAGCAAAGTCAGGAATACAGATGAACACCTACAATCGATGTTTTTTCTTCCACTATGGCTTGAAATTAATTTTGTTTCCACTGATGTTTAAAAGCATAACTAAGCTCATTTATCTTCTAGAAGGTGTTTGAAAATAAAAGTGAAATCTAATGAGACATGTATGCACGGGGCAGGACTGCTATAACAGTAACTACCTCGCTTTCACATTTGGAGATGAAGAGCAGATTCTTCTGTAAACACATGATGCAGCATCATTACATGACCCAAGCCAGCCACACCTGAAGGACAAGCTCGCCACAACTTACAGCAGCCCCAGAAGGTAGCCTTGGCTTGGCAGTACTCAAAAGCTTAGACCTGGTTTAGAGAACTAAGGTGCGGACTGTTTCTTCAGCAGTTTTGCCAGAACTTGAGCACAATTTGGTTTCCACATCTAGCAAAAAAAAAAGTGATTTATTAGGTTATTGCAGTGGACATTTTGGCAGAGAAAGCAGGCACGCTGAAGTATGCATCTGTTATTTCCAAAAAAAGCCAAACAATTTCACTGGTCTGGTTTAGAGAACTGGCCTGGACTGCACAGAAGGCAGCACTTAATTCAGACAGAGGATGGGGAGAAGGAGAAAGGCAGAAATAACACACCAGGCACAAAGAGGAATCTGCAACCAGCTTTGCTTGTTTGTGTCAAAGAAATTGTACGAGGGAAGAAACTTCAGAAAACTAACAGTACAATCCACTGCGCTACAAAGATCATCTCTTGCACAGCTCAGGATGCACTGCCAAGATATTAAAAATCACATCCTTGTAATCCCAGTAATCACTGGGTTCACAAGCTGTGAGCTAAGATGCAACCAATTCAAGAGAAAAAACTAGGACATTTTTTGCTGTAAGCTTCATCTGGTCACAGTGGATTAGAGGAAATCCTTCGGCCAACAATTGCAATGGAAAATCCCGGCTCCCACCGGGCAGCTGCCACCATCCAGCAGGTACCGCTCGCAGGCACACGGACACACGCACCGAAATGAAGACAAGCATCTCATTTTCAAGTTGATTTTTGTAAATGGAAAAAAATGTATAAAATCTATCCATACATTAACAGATACAGGAAGTTACACAATCCAGTTTACACCTAAAGTAACAGCAATCAGTCTGTAATAAGAACAGGGAAAAATTCCAATGCTGTAATTTGTCCGAAGTCACTACAGGGCAGAGGACAGCAGGGCGAGGGTGGTTGGCTTCTTTTTTTTCGTACATGGATAAAACTGGCTACCTTCCCTACTTCCAAAGCAATGAGACAATTTCAACAGATATGTATTAGGAATACTTTTGAAATGCATCTGACTCTAGCATTAACACTGAATATTCAAAGATTCATATTATTACAACATAATGTTTGGATACTTTTGCCTCCAGGAAAGGGCAGTGGGCAGTAGATATTATTCAAGAGAAATCCTGCACCCGTCTTAGAATTTACAGCATTGACTGAGTTAAAGATTTTTATTTTATGATTTTTATCCATCCTGGAACACTTAAAATTTGTGTATCCTCAGCTCAGACATTTACAAAGCATGCAGAGACTGTTACTACTCAAGGAACATTTAGGAGGCTATGGAAAAATGTGCTGGTGGGTATCAGTCTAATTTTAGTGAACTCATGTCTACCATTACATGCAAGCCACACCTGGCAGTAGTTTTCCCCTCACACCTCCATTTACTGGAGGCCCCAGAAGACAAGGCTTGAATGAATGGGCATGGAAGCTCAGGTACCATTTTAAGTAATAAAGCAAAACAACCACTAGCAGGGGCCAGCTTGTGGCAATGCCTGCCCTGCTACTGGTGTACCTGTGGGCGAACAGTGTCAGTCTAGGGCTCAGAAAAGATGCCCGATTGATTTTTAAAGGAAAAGGGAGGCACCTTAAACCCTGAAAAGACAGACTTCCTGTGTTTGACAGGTGTATTCAATATACACACACAAAGCAAGACAGTAAGCTGTGCTTATCCACCCAGAAGACTGCACCATTCTTCTGAACACATAGAATATACAACCCCTTTTCAAAATAACAACAACAATAATAAAAATAATAAAGCAGAAGTGCAGGATCCAGACTGTTGGGTGGTCTGTGTTTAAAAAAATGTAAGGAAGAATAAAAGCTAATGCTGTAAAGACAACTATTCCCTTTCAAAGCAAAGGCCACATAAAACTGTGTTGCTCAGTTTGGTTTTTACTTCATGCCACCTGTAAACACAAGACTGGATATTCAGTTTCTGGGAAGAAATGAAACCACTTTTACATCCTTACATCCAGAGTAAAAGAAAGGCCCTCCACTGCCTGGATCACAGATTACCCAGGAAAAGGTAGCTAGGGGAAAGCTTCCTCTTCTCGTTTGCTCATTTCATTAGAAAGGTCATATCTGAACAAAAGAGCTTTCAATAAAAGCACAAAACATTTCTTGATGTTATTTCTGCCCTCTGTCTCTAAAGTTTGCTATGGGGACTAACACTTTCCATTCCTCACCAACAGATACATCACCTTTTTGGCACCATGGGTGGAATTTCTTCCTAATATACAATTTTGCCATATACAAAAGTCGATTGTCTAATCATGCAAATCCAACGGAATTCCAAGAAGTGCCACAAGACAGTTCAACTCTTTGCAATCTACTACCTAGTTTGTATACTGCCATAGGACCCTCCCAGAAAACAGACTGTCATCCTTACTTAGATCTGATGGTGTGTTTCATATATGGCATTTCAAC